CCCTTCCACGCTGGCTGGTGGGGCTGGGTGTGTGTCCTGAGCTGACACTGGCACCTCTCACCATGAACCGTGCTGCTGGTGAATGCTGCTACTGGTAACTGGTGTTACTGGTGAATGGTGTTACTGGTGAATGCTGGTAGTGGTAACTGGTGTTACTGGTGAATGGTGTCACTGGTAAATGCTGTTACAGGTAAATGTGTTACTGGTAACTGGTGTTACTGGTGAATGCTGGTACTGGTGAATGGTGTTACTGGTGAATGGTGTTACTGGTGAATGCTGGTAGTGGTAACTGGTGTTACTGGTGAATGGTGTCACTGGTAAATGCTGTTACAGGTAAATGTGTTACTGGTAACTGGTGTTACTGGTGAATGCTGGTACTGGTGAATGGTGTTACTGGTGAATGGTGTTACTGGTAAATGGTTTTTATCATTGCAGGGGAAGCAAAATCTTCCCAGGACTGGGGTTTTTAAACCCTGTGAAATGGTTTTGATCACCAGTTTCCCTTCCTCTGCCCTGCCCAGAGCTGGCTGCCCTCAGGGGCTGTGCTGTGCCCATCCCCTCCTGTGACCCCCCCTTTGCTCTGGGTCCCTCTCTTAAGGCCTGGCACAGCTGAAATTCCCCAGGAAAGGTGAAATTGCTGTGGCAGCAGCAGCTCTGCCCTGTGGGGACAGCCAGGGCTGGACTGGGGGGACAGTCTGGGCAGTGGGGACAGTCAGGGCTGGGCTGGGGGACAGCCAGGGCTGGGCTGGGGGACAGCCAGGGCTGGGCCAGCGCCGCTCCCACCATGGCCATTGAGGCCTCAGCTCCCCAGGGACTGATGTGAGGAAATAAATTCTGTAAATAAAACCCACAGCCGGGAGGGGAGTGAGCAGCAGGGCCAGTCTCTGTGCAGAATTACGGGCTTGGAGCTACAGCAGATGTGAAAAAAGCAAATTCTGAACACAAAAGCAAAAGGATCAATAACGTAAATTACTTTAAACTGGAGGGAGGCAGGGTTACACTGGAGATTAGGGACAAATCCTTCCCTGGCAGGGTGGGCAGGGGCTGGAATAGAATTCCCAGAGCAGCTGGGGCTGCCCTGGATCCCTGGCAGTGCCCAAGGCCAGGCTGGACACTGGGGCTGGAGCACCTGGGACAGTGGGAGGTGTCCCTGCCAGGGCAGGGTGGCACTGGGTGGGATTTGAGGTCCCTCCCAACCCAAACCATTCCAGGATTCTGAGAATTTTCTCCTCCCAAGCACTGCCCAACACGTTCCATCTGCAGCCCAGGAGGGTCCCAGCCCCCTTGGACACAGGATGTCCCCACTGCTGGGGTGTCTGGAGCAAGGCTGGGGAGCATTCCAGGCAGTTCCAGGCAGCTCCAGGCAGCTCCAGGCAGTTAGAGGAAATCCCTGTCCTTCAGGGCAGCCAGGTGGGATCCCAGCCCGTGGGGGCTCCTGGAGCAGAGCCCCTGTGCAGTTTTAATTAAGCAAGTGGAAGAACTGTTTTTTACAAAGATTAATGGATCTCTGTTTTAATTATGGTGGAATAATAGACTGGAGAGCTGGGAAAGTGGGAGGCATTAAAAAAAGAGGATTAAAAACTTGAGGGAAGCTGGGTGAGACTATATTTTTCCGTACTTACAAATTACAGAAGATCATCCCCATTAATAATGATTGGAAAAATAATAAAGTGCCCTCAGCCGTGTATGACAGTTAACATTAAAATCTATTTTTTATTCTTGTTGTGTGGGGAATTTCTGATTACAATCATCAGTTAAAAAAGAAACTCTGCTTTTTTCCAATCTTCCAAATTTAAATATAGGAGAATTTTCTGCTATGGTTTCATCAATATTTTTCCAAGCCATGGCAAGGTAAAAAGAGCAAAAGTCACTTTTGTTTAATGACTGTTACTTTAGTTGTGCTGCAGTGTTACTATTAATTGCTAAAAATAATTGGTTCTATGCATAGATTTTAAAATTACATTGCAGGAAATGCTGCTGGGATGTGCAGGGAATTAAATGGAAACAGAATTAAGGGAAAGAGAGGAAAAGAGAGGAAAGGGGAAAAGAGGAAGGGGAAAAGCAAGGGAAGGCCTCTGATGTTTGCAGTTTTTCCTGCTGGTGATCCTTTCGGTGAATGATTTCTCAGATATTGCTGTAGGAGTTTTATTGTCATTAGTTTTGTTAAAGCTCCTCGTGCTCTGCTGGAATCCCTGCCCTGCCCTGGGCAGGAGAAGCACAGTGACACACAAACCCTGCGTGGAAAGGCTGCTCTTCCTTAGGAGATTGTACAGGTCTGGGGGAAAGGAAAGCCTTCCCTTAAACAGTAAAAAATCCTGGATTTTCCTCATTTCTGCTGCCCTGCAGAAGTCCAGTGCAGGCTCTCTGGCCAGAGGCTGCCGTGGGAGGGGCTGTGCTCTGCCTGTCCTGCAGGGATGCCAGGGCTGGGAGCTGATTTGCAAACAGCAAGGGATTAAATTCGTTAGATTAGAAAACATTTCTGGGATGAATCATTTGATTGCTGCTTCCGTGGGGTAAATATCACTTTATCCATCCCATCCCACGTGGGTGGTGGGAAGCACAGGATGTTGGCTGCTGTGGAGCTGAAAACCACCCTGGTGAGGGCTGCAGGCAAACTGGGCAGCAGCTCTGGAGCAGGGCTCAGCCACAGAGCTGGGGAGGGGGCAGGGGAGCTGGGGGTGCTCAAGGAGCTCATCCAGGGTGTCCCAGGGTGGCTGGGCTTGGGAAGGAGCTCCAAGCCCAGCCCATCCCACCCTGAGGTCCTGGAGGTCTTTTCCAGCCTCATTGATTCTGTGAATTCTGATTTTTATTTTTTTTTCTGGTGAGCCATGCAGAGAGCAGGGATTTGGTGGAGCTGGGTTTTTGTGCTGGGAGAGGAGAAGGAGGAGGGGGCTGCTTTCCTCTCCTGGGGAAGGAGTCACAGTGCTAAGGCTTCCTTCCAAGGTTTGGACGTGCGAGTGTGGATAAACAGTGGGAGAATGAAATTAATGAAGTGGTAAATGCTCACTGAACTACAGGCTACCTGCAAAAATGCTGATGTGTAATTCGGGCAGTCCCAGAGTGGGGTGGGGTGGGGGGGACCTTAAATCTGCTCTCACTCCAGCCCAGCCCCAGACAGGGACAGCTCCCTCAGCCCAGGTGCTCAGCTGTGCTGGGATGGACTGGATCCAGCTGTGCTGATGGACTGGATCCCGCTGTGCTGGGATGGGCTGGGTCCAGCTGTGCTGATGTACGGAATCCAGCTGTGCTGGGATGGACTGGATCCAGCTGTGCTGATGGACTGGATCCCGCTGTGCTGGGATGGACTGGATCCAGCTGTGCTGATGGACTGGATCCCGCTGTGCTGGGATGGACTGGATCCAGCTGTGCTGATGGACTGGATCCAGCTGTGCTGGGATGGACTGGGTCCAGTTGCTGCAGAAAGTCAGTGGGAAAGGAACACGTGCTAGAAAAACCTCCATGAATTGGAGCTTTCTCTGCCTCTCCCACCCTGCTGCTCATTAGAATCAAGTTCAAAATGTTCACAGGACTCTGAAAGAGGCTCCTTGCCTCCCCAGAGTGGGACCAGACCCTACACAACTCCTCCTGCAGGGATCCCAACCTCAAAGTGCCACTTTCCAGTGACATCCCAATTCTCTGCTCTATAAATGGGTTTTTTATATCCCACGTCGCCTCAGAACCCTTTCAGATTTAATGTTGAGATCATTAATTAAATGAATGGTTATTCTCATGCTTTGTTTCTGAACCATTTCAGCCTGATGTTTCCAGTTCCTTGTTCCTGAATGGAATGCCATTTTCCACTTAAACAATACTGCCAGATGCTTAGGCCACCAAATCACCATTTTCTCCCTCCAGTTTCTGTGGCTGTGCTATTTTAATGTTTCATCAAAGGGATGAGCTCTGTTGCATTCCCTTCTTCTCTTGGATTTCCTTCATGTAGAAAGCTCTTTATGGAATAAAAATGTCCCATTAGTCTGTTGCCCTTTGTATTATCCTCCTTCCTACCTTCCTCCAGCTTTTAAAATTGTTTCAAAGCCTTAAATTCCAAGGTGGGCATGGGGGGTGAGTCTAAAATTTGCCTAATTCATTCCCCACGATTCCTGAAGAGTTGTTAATTTGTGGAGAGAAACGCAGATTTCCTGTGCCACAGCATCCCTTCCCGATGGCTCCTGGGTGTGCAGCTCCCTGCTCTCAGCCCTGAGCCTGTTATTCCAGCACTGCCTGCCTCTTCCCACGTGCTGGGTGGGGAAAATGGAGCACTGGGCTCTTGAGCCAGGCTTGAACACCCTCCAGCCCCTCAGGCAGGCTCAGGCTCCTCCAGCAGCTCAGAATAAAGCTGCTTCTGCCTCTCCTCCCTGCCCTGGGACCCCCCACTACAGCCCCCGAGGGAGAGGAGCTCCTGGGATGGGATAATGGGATGGGATACAATGGACTGGGATGGGACGGACTGGGATGGATGGGATGGACTGGGATGGATGGACTGGGATGGGATGGGATGGGATGGGATGGGATGGGCTGTCAGATCCCTTCCCACCCAAACCATTTGGGGGTTCTGGGGTTCTGTGAACCCCCTGCAAAGAAGCTGGTTTGGGTTCTCTGATGTCTGGATAAAACTCTCGTGGCTCCTGAGCTCAGCAGCAGAAGGGGGCTGTGCCTCAGGAGCAGGGCAGGAATTTTCCATGGAGCACACGTCGCTGCTGACCCTCGGGGCAGAGGCTGCAGGAGAAAGGGCTGGGCCAGCCCAGGCAGCAGTAATAACTGAGGCTTTCCTCCTGGTGCTCCAGCAGCCTCTCCCACAGGAGAACAGGGCAGGGAGAGCAGGGCAGGCAGATGTATCTGTGGTTACTGCGTTTGCCAGCTGGGCTTTGGGGTTCAGGGTGGTTCTGAGTTAACAGGGGCTCCTGTGTGAGCTCAGCTCTGATGAACCCCAGCTGTGCTCAGCAGCGAGCGGCACGGAGCAGCTCCCACGGCTCCACGCTCAGGCTCTCCCTTTCCCCCAGGTGTTACCTGGAGGATGGAGTCTCCAAAGGGGCCTGGCTGAACCGCTCCAGCATCATCTTCGCGGGCAACGACAAGTGGTCCGTGGATCCGCGCGTGTCCATCGCCACGTCCAACCGCCGCGAGTACAGCCTGCAGATCCAGGACGTGGACGTGACGGACGACGGCCCCTACACCTGCTCTGTGCAGACCCAGCACACGCCCAGGACCATGCAGGTGCACCTCACCGTGCAAGGTAGGGCTGGGGGAGCGCGGGCTGGGAGCGGCAGCCCCTTCACAGTCCTTTTCTTTTCCTTTCCTTTTTCTTTTTCCTTTTCCCTTTTCCTTTTCCCCTTTCCTTTCCCTCTTTCCTTTTTCCTTTTCCTTTTCTTTTCCTTTCCTTTCCCCCTTTCCTTTCCCCCTTGCCTTTTTCCTTTTCCTTTCCTATTCCTTTTTCCTTTTCCTTTCCTTTTCCTTTTTCCTTTTCCTTTTTCTTTTTCATTTTCCTTTTTCCTTTTCCTTTTCCTTTTCCTTTTCCTTTTCCTTTTCCTTTTCCTTTTCCTTTTCCTTTTCCTTTTCCTTTTTCCTTCTTCCTTTTCCTTTCCCTTTCCCTTTCCCTTTCCCTTTCCCTTCCCCCAGCGCTGCACAGCTCTGGTGTCACTTTTCACACAGATTTAATATTTATTGTATTGTTCCAGGGTGAACAATTCTTGGTTTTGATTGTCTCCCTAATAATTAATGCCCCCATGCAAGGGCTAAAAAAAACAAGTTGGAAATTAATTGCATGTATAAAATACATCAACAGGAGCTTAAAATTAATTAGGCTAACTACAAGCATATAGAGAAATAATAACTCAATAGTTAAAAATATGCATAATTATTAAGCAATTGCATTTATATCTTCAGAAATGCAAAGTATAACCTAAGGCTTTAACTTATTAGTCTTTGGTGCAATCATCATTAACATTTTCTTTTGCATTTTTATGAGTAATAAAGCAATGAATATAGAGGAGAAGAATAGAACTGGCAATCCCCATTAATCCATGTGGCACATGGAAATCCCTTAGAAATAACAGGGTGAACCACCTCCCACACCAGTTGTCCTTACCCATGGGAATCCTGCAGGAATGTTGGGCTGGAGCTCCGAGCTCAGTGTGTGTGTTTTATCGAGATATCATGGAGTCATTTTTGTGGCCCTGGTGAGAGGCCTCAGGACCCTCAGGCTCAGGTTGGGGTGTGCAGGGACACAGGAACCGGGACAGGAGCAGAGGGAACAGCCCCAGGCTGGGCCAGGGCAGCTCAGGGTGGGCACAGCAGGAATTTCCCCATGGAAAGGGTCTCAGGGCTTGGCACTGCCCAGGGAGGTTGGAGTGCCCATCCTGGAGGTGTCCCAGGAACTCCTGGAGGTGGCACTCGGGGCTCTGGGCTGGGGACAGGTGGGGGGCAGTGCTCGGGGAGGGCTGGTCCTGCAGTGCCTGCCTGGGAGCAGGGACTCCCTTACACCCAGCTGTGCTCCCAGTGGGACCCTGAGGCCACTGCTGTGAGCGATGGGACAGCCTCTCCTGCTCCAGAGGCTTCCTGGGAGCACACAGGGAGCTGTCCTGGGAGCGCAGAAGGAGTTATCCCGGGATCACACAGGGAGTTATCCCGGGAGCACACAGGGAGTTATCCCGGGATCACACAGGGAGTTATCCCGGGATCACACAGGGAGTTATCCCGGGATCACACAGGGAGTTATCCCGGGATCACACAGGGAGTTATCCCGGGATCACACAGGGAGTTATCCCGGGATTACACAGGGAGTTATCCTGGGAGCACACAGGGAGTTATCCCGGGATTACACAGGGAGTTTTCCTGGTATCACACAAGGAGTTATCAGGGGGTGACACAAGGAGCTGTCAGGGGATCACACAAGGATTTATCCCGGGAGCACGCAGAGGGAGTTATCCTGAGATCGCACAGAGAGTTATCAGGGGATAACAGAGGGAAGGGGGTGACACAAGGAGCTCTCAGGGGATCACACAAGGATTTATCCCGGGAGCACGCAGAGGGAGTTATCCTGAGATCGCACAGAGAGTTATCAGGGGGTAACAGAGGGAGTTATCAGGGGGTGACACAGGGACTTATCCTGGGAGCACAGAGGGAGTTATCCTGGGGGCATACGGGGAGTTATCCTGGAAGCACCTTTAGGTTTCCCTGTAAAATCTTCCCCAGCCTGGTATCTGGAGATTAAAAACAACCTCTGCTTTGGGAGAAATGAGTCAGGGCAAAGCAAAACCTCTCTGTCCGAGGGTGTTTGGCTTCCCCTGGCACTGGGAATAAATGATGAGAGCCGAGGAGTCACAGGAGAGCAGGAAGGCTGGCAGCAGCCTCAGCCCTTCGCAAGCCCCGGGCTGTGTTCAGGAATCCTGCAGCTGCAGGAGCAGGGGCTTGCTCTGTGTCCCAGAGGAAACGAGGGAAGGCTCGGGGGCAGCTGGAGCTCCCAAAGAGCTCCAGAGTCCAGGCAGGAGCAGGATGTGCAGTGAGCTGCCCCCAAAAGCTGTGCAAGCCCAGCCCTCCCCTGGGAGCCTCAGCCCAGCGCAGGAGCTGTCTGTGCAGCAGCTCCTCTCTGCTGCTTGGCCTGGCAGGTCCTCAACGTGCTCAATAAACAAATACACACATTTTCAAGGGTTAAAGACACCTCCACTGCCAGGCCCAGGGGCAGGGGCAGCTCCCCGGGGAGAGCAGCGTCTGCCCTGCCCAGAGCACCCAGAGCAGGGGCTTTGGCCACTGCCCACAGGGATCTCTGCAGGGCTGCACCAGGGGGTTTGGGCCCCCAAATCCCTGTGCCGAAGCCAGCACAGCACCCGAAGGACACCAGCAGGGCAACTCTTGGTCAGTGTTACTCATTGCAGTTACTCCCCTTTGTAGCAGGGAAATTAACTGAGATTTTTGATAAAAAAAGAAAATAGAACTTGTATCTGCAGCCCACATTTACATCTGTGAAGGAAAATCCACATGAAAGAGAAGATAATCCAGTTAACTTGATTTCAGTGACCTTATTAAAAAGAAGTGAGAATTATGAAATAATTAATTGAAAGTTTCGATGGCAGCAGTTTGCAATCAACTCAATCTACCTCAGTGCCAGATGCTGCATCTGCAAAGTCATGAGCTGCAGCTGATTTAAAAACCAGGCGTTTGTCACAGCCGGGTAAAAACCCGAATTTTCCCCTGCCACTCTGTGCTGCTCAGGCTTTTTCTGCAGAAGGTTATGCTTTCTGCAGCTCCAGTGTGGCATTTATTCTGCCAAAGCCAAAGCTGCCTCCTCCGAGCTGCTTTTCTTTCATTTGCAAAGGGCTGCTCCCACCTTGGCCAGGGTCCTTCAGCAGGGTCAGGATGGTGACAGCCCCAGTGTCCCTGTCCCTGGGGTGACACAGGGTCCTGAGCTGGGGCACGGCTGGGCCAGGGGAGTTTGGGACACAGAGCAGGGCTTACAGAGATCCCAGCCCCAAATGGGACACAGAGCAGGGCTCAGAGAGACCCCAGACCCAAACAGGGACAGAGGGACACAGAGCAGGGCTCAGAGAGACCCCAGCCCCAAACAGGGACAGAGAGACACACAGAAGGGGGTTTACAGAGACCCCAGCCCCAAATGGGACACAGAGCAGGGCTCACAGAGACCCCAGCCCCAAATGGGGCACAGAGCAGGGCTCACAGGGACCCCAGCCCCAAACAGGGACAGAGGGACACACAGAAGGGGGTTCAGAGGGACCCCAGCCCCAAACTAGTCCCAGGCTTTTGGGGGCAGGTGTGGATGCTGGGGGTGCACAGCTGGCACAGGTCACTGCCCAGGTCACTGCCCAGGTCACTGCTTTGTCCTTCAGGAGCAGATCCCAGGTGCCAGCCCTGTCCCCAGCCCCGCAGTGCCCGCTGCCCTGCCTTGTCCCCTCTGCCATGCAGAGCAGCCCCGTTCCTGCTCCAGGAGCCCCACAGGCCCAGCCCGGGCTGTCAGGGACACAAACCTTGCTGCCATCGTCACCTGGATTCTTGTCCTCGTGTGACCCAGCCCGGCAGGGCAGCCGGGACAGCCCCAGCCCAGCTCCACCTCGCCCCTGCAGCACTCTGTAAATAATTCAGTTATCCATGGAAACGCCTGTTAGAGATTCAGGCAGGAACCACAACCTCGGGTTTTTATTTAAACATGTATAATGTTCCCAAAGTAATACTCTAGGCCCTTTTTCTGTTTAATAAACCCCCTTAATGTCCCCTAAATATTAATGTATTGATTTAGTCTTTGCAATGTTTGCAAAGTCTAATTTGTTTCCTCAGCCAGGCCAAGAGGGACTTGCATTTGAAGCTAACGAGATAAATCTTCCCCAAATTTATTTAAAGTGGGACAAAATAAATATGCAAAAGACTTTAAAATCATCTAACAACCACTTCCCAGCTAAAACTGACAATCCATTACTCTTTTAAATTGCCAGCACTCGAGCAGGGTGTCAGTTTTCTTTATAAAATTAACTCGCTGGTGCCAGCCGCCGTTATCGTCTTGTCCCTGCTCAGCACAGGGAGAAAAAGCCTTGGGAAAACATTTCTGGGGGGGAGGCAGGCTGTGTGATAGAGACCCCCGAGGGTCTCCATCCCTGGCCCTGCTGCTGCTCCCACTCCCAGCCAGTGGCTGATGCCAGGTTCTCTCCCGGGTTTGTGCATTATTTCCTCCCACGCCCGTCCCTCCCAGGGGCTGCGGGGGATCTCTCACTCTCAGAGGGGTCTCAGTGGTTTTTCCCCGCTCTGCCGGGCTGGGGCACAGGAAATGTTGGCGTTGGGAGGGGATCCCATCTGCAGGGATGGAAAGCAGGGTGTTTTGTCTGGAGTGGAGCAGGCTGCTCGCATCTGAAGCTCATCATTCTGCCGTGTTGGGGGTGCTTTAGCCACGGCTGCAGCCCAGCTCCCATCAGCAGCATGAGATCTCCATCCTCTGGAATCTGCAGGCAGAGGACAATGGGCTCAAAATGATCATTTCCTGTGGGCTGGGGCACAGGAAATGTTGGCGCTGGGAGGGGATGATCCCATCTGCAGGGATGGAAAGCAGGGTGTTTTGTCTGGAGTGGAGCAGGCTGCTTGCATCTGAAGCTCATCATTCTGCCGTGTTGGGGGTGCTTTAGCCACGGCTGCAGCCCAGCTCCCATCAGCAGCATGAGATCTCCATCCTCTGGAATCTGCAGGCAGAGGACAATGGGCTCAAAATGATCATTTCCTGTTGGCCCCAAGAACGCT